AGATTACAGTAAATAAGGTAAGAAGGCCTTGAGTGTGAGGCTTACTGTTAACCTAGTAAGGTGTTGCCACATCTACATGTTCCAGAGCAACGAAGTATTGCTTCAACGCCCTTGGTTTTTCTCTCCCCTTTTGTTTAAAGTTTCTTAATAACGTCTCTTAAAATAGAATCTGACCCTTTGCTGCTCTTTCCACTGCAAGCTCTGTTGCTATGCTGGAGTGTTAGGGAGGTAAAGTGTCAGGAGCACTGAATAACGCTGTGGCCAAACCTTAGTAATTAATGTTTCCCAGGCTATGAACTTCACAAGCATTTGTTGTTTTGTTTGTTTGTTTTTTGTAGTTTTTCTTTCTTTTTTTCTTTCCTCTTTAGGTGAAACAGAAAGTCTAGAGGGAGTAGTGTCAGGTAAACGTTCTTTTCAAGGGAAAGTAAGGCTCTGGAGGCTGGAAAGTAGGCTTTTGTAGGAACTCACAGGGACTCTAGGGAGTTCAGCATAATTGAGTGGTCACCATTTCTACCCTCCCTCAAATACATGAGGGGGTCTTTCCTGGTTCATCCCTGGGTGAACTTAGTGGGATACCCTAGAAGCAAACCCCACACAACTATAAGGGTTCCCCTAAACTTTGGGATTCCAAAAAGGGAAACCCACATACATGTAAGGGTTCTCCCACACGCTGACAGTCCTGGCATTTTCTCACTCTCATTACTAAATGTATTTGTGGCTCTGGTGGTATCTGCTTCAGGTGAGCAAACCTGGACTTTGAGTCTCTGTATTTATTTGTCTCTCTAGATTTTGGAGGGATGGTTTGCCATGCTGTGTGTAAGAGAAGACGTTGATTTTCCGTCTACATTTTGTTTGTTAAAAGGACAGAAGTGGCAACATCCAAACTTTTCCCATGTTGGAGATGCAGGGAGAGATTCTGACATAGCTGTTTTGGTGACTATTTTCCTGAATTTGGAGAGGGGGAGGCCAGTGCGTCTTTGTGACCTGCAGAGGTGCACTTGGGTTCACAACCTATGAAACAGCAGGACTACAACCACAGCCTGCAGCTTCATGGTCAGAGCTCTTTCTCTCCTATTTCAAGCAGCACATAAATTGCACGGTTTTTTGTTTGTTTGTTTGTTTATTTTTAATCCTCAGAAGTTTCTGGCATAGCTGGCAAACAGAACTGAGTGGTTTGGGGGAATGTCTGTTAGGCAGAGGCTGCATTTTCTTTTGCCTGAAGGCGCACTGATTAATTCTTCATTAGTCCAAAATCTCAAATAACCAGAATCAGTTCTTTCATGTAGCTTTTAGTTACGCTGGTGTTTAAGTTTCTTACCATAACAATTACATTTTCGAAGGGTGTCTTTGTTGTTGATATTTAAGTCAGAGTCTTGTCTCAGTTACGGCTGGCCACTGACCCGCCACACACGGCCTTGATCCTCCAGCCTTCAATTCTGAGGACTACAAGTCTGTGCCACCATGCCTGGATTTTATTGTCTCCAGGTAGGGTCTCACTCTGGAGCCCAGGCTGGCCTTGAATTTGCAGCAATCTTCCTGCCTCAAACTCGAAAGAGCTTACAGGTGTGAGCCACCGTGTTAACTAAGGCTATGGATTTTAGGCTTCAGCATTCCACTGATTAGCAGCTCCTGAAGTGAATTTAGTGTGTCTCTGAAAAATTTAAAAACACGTACTAGAATACCTTAATGCAGAGAAATCATTCTCACCCAGTAAAATATTATTTTATTAAGTGTGTTTATGAATATTGATATAAACCTATATGAATTATTATGTAGATATGCACATGCTGGATTGTAATACAGAATGTGTTTATTGCTGTGATTTGTGGCCCCAATAAAGTTTTAAGGCATTTGATTTTTAAGAAATGGAGGAAATAGTGAAACAAAACTTTATTTTAAAAAGAATCCATAAATTAGTAATTTAACTTTTCTCTACGAATTAATTTTAATAAACCCTCTTAGTTGACAGCTAACACTGAACACATTTTAAACTTCATGGGAAACTAAGATAAATTTTCATTATTTATTTTTTCACTAGATATTTGATGATTTTTGAAAACCGATGGAATGTTGATTTGAGTATGTACTATTTAAAGGGTAAATGTCTGTAGCCAGAATTTTTGTGTCTCAAGATGCTAATAAATTAGATTTGAGAAATTTGATGCTTTTGGTAAACTCTGATGCTAACTTTTACTATGTTTAGTGCCCAAATATTATGCTAATGAACTGTCTAATCCTGTTACAGCAGAGCTAGGGCTAGATGATCAACTACAGCAACCTTGTTGATCAGCCACTAACCAATGTCTTTTTAGTAATGTTTCCTTTTTAACTGTGTAGCTCAGGTTGTCTGTGACTGTGTGGTGATCTTGCCTCAGTCTTCTAAGTTCCAGAATTGCACCAGACTCACTGATGTTGGGTTAATAAGATCTGCTTAATTCTCAAAACTTAAAAGTTTCTAATAAACCATTCTTTTTCATTTCTTTGCATGTTACTTTGCTAGAAATAGCATCTGTACTTCATTCATATAAATTTTGTTTTTTAGATCCTCTAAAGGTGCTTACGTTTGGTTGATGGTTTAGAGGTCATGTGTGTAGCACATGTGTGGATGTATTGGACCATGATGTGATTATGGTCCATTGTACAACTGAACCTGTTTGCTAGTGCCAGAGATGTATCCAAGATTGCCCACTTGGGGAACTGACTGATAGGAATGGGAGGGTTAGGTAATTCTTTTTATTTCGACTTTGGTATAGTCTTGGTTGCAAAGAAACTCCAATTTAAAACTTAAAAAGAAGTTCAGGGTCTCTAATAGCCCAGGCAGGCCCCAAAGTTCCTATATAGCTGATTACTTTGAACTGGTAACCTTTTCTTCCTCCCAATTGAGGAGATGACAAGCATGTGCCCCCCCCAACTCTATTTTAACTAATTAAACTTTTAAGTATTTACCTGAGAAAAATCAAAGGAAAGAGAAGCAAAACCTCGGTTTCAGAAAGGGTGGAAGCTTTAGTGAAACGAGGTGGTATTTTACTCGTGCGTATGTTGCACATTCTTATTTACACACGTGTGGACATATATGTACACATGTATGCCATGTGTGGAGGCGGAAATTTAGTGTCTTCCTCTATCACTCTCCACTATATTTATTCAGACAGGAGCTCTTGATGACACGGTGCTTTCCCATTCCAATCGAACTCGCCAACTTGTCCTTGGGACCCCCCCTGCCTCTGCCTCCCAACTGCTGGGATTATAGGTAGACATTTCAGTTAGTCTTTCAATCGCTGTAATAAATACCATGAGCCAAAGCAACCTGGGGAGGAACGGCTTTATTTCTTCTCCAGTCACACCGCGTCACGGAGGAGAGTCAGGGCAAGAACCAGGAGGCAGGAACCAAAGTAGAAGCCATGGAGAAGCATTACTTATTGACTTGCTCGGTTTGCTTTCCTTCTTTCTTTCTTTCTTTCTTTCTTTTCTTTCTTTCTTTCTTTCTTTCTTTCTTTTTACAGCTTGCATATTTATTGAACAAATATTACTAAAATAGCTAAAATACATTGGGTACTTATGAGAGCAACAGTAAGGACCACATGTTACAAAAGCCTGCGTTTTCAGCAGTGCACAGCTGCAACTCTACATAAATGCCACAAATGCACAATACTGTTTTCTTGCTCTATTTACATAGCTGATATATCTATCCTAACAAAGGTGGGGGTGGGGAGGATGCACAGGAAACTCGGGCCAGAGGGGGAGCGAGGAGAGAACGAAGAAATACAGTGCATGCGTCATTGGTGTTTTAACAGTCGAAGGTCGAAGCGCAAACAGTTCAGAACAAGGCCTGCCCTGTCAAAGGAAGAGCTAAAGACGTATATAAAAATTAAGGTGGGCTTTCAGTCTGGCTAACACAACAACATTCCGTGGAGAGATGGCATTATCGGATTTTATTTTTGTTTATATCCATTTCATTGGGAGCAAGGACAAAAATGTAAAATCTACACCTTGCTTACCAAAACTTCCCCCCAAAAAAGGTGTTTTGCTTTTCATCATCATCATCACCACCATTTTTTGTAAAAATACTTTTCCAACTTCAACTTTGGGAAAGGTATAATTTTCAAATTCCTACTCAGATGCCAGTACTTTGTATTTTGTTTTTTCCACATGGCACTTATTAAAAAATAGTGGACCTTTATTCCCCCTAAATATCCAGTCAAACGAAAAGAATCCAAAGAGACACCTCAGAAATGCCTGGGGAATTATTGCTTTTCTTTTTCTAAGTCAGGCAGGTGAGGCTGTGGAAAGGAAGAGTTCTGGTAGGTAAAATTGCAGTTTTGTGATTGTTCCCACTACCGTGACTGCCAGTCCACCAGGGCCGGCCACGAGAGGACAGCCTCTCACGCTCTTGGTAGCGTCCGCTCAACCTACGACGCTGAAGAAGAAAGCCACACTGAAGACACAAGGAAAACAAGTCAATCCAGTCTAGAGAACAACATCCGGGGAAACAGAGTACCAACACCTTCTTAGAACATGGAAATAAAAAATAACTCCATCAGAGCTACCTCGCCAAGGAGCATGTTGAAAAGTCCAAAATAGCACCATTCATCAGTGTCTCAGGTCCTGTGGCAGCATCTCAGTCACTTACCACGAGGAAACAATGAGTTTCAAACTACTTCTATACATCAAAAGAGTACATGGGTAAAATATAGAGATATACAGACAATTGATGAACATAAACTACTAGGCTTGTTACATCTAAATGAAAAAATAAAAGTGTTGGCGGGGGGGGGGGACTCTCAGCCTCTGCAAGAAGCAGTCGGGAACTGTAATGATGAAAGGCAGGTGTGGACCGGTCGTGTGTGCCCAGTGGGAGTTTGAGTTGTGGAAGACATTGCTGTAGCAAACCAGGCCTGAAGGCCCACCTGGAGGGGTTGTAAACGTGGATTCACAGTGTGAAATTCTGGCTTAAAAACTGGTTTGATGATACCTATTTGTCCATTGTAAATTCTCTAAAGCAAGGCTTAGAGTCCCATAGTTTCTTCTTATAGTTGATGATTTACACAGAAAAAAAAAAAATCCCATATATGATACCAAGACCTCATCAAAACCCCATACACCATATGTAATACAAATGGAGGTGTTACAATTAAAAACAGTGGAGGTAACTGGCGTTTGGGAAGCAGAGTTGGTGGCTGCCCGGTGGAGTCAGGGTGGCAGCACTGGTCTCATTGGTCTTCTTCCGGCTCACTTCCTTTGGCATAGGAAGTCTCCCCTTAGTAAGACTTCCCTCCATTGCCTTGTATGGAAATGGTTCTTGGCTGACCCAGACCAAGAGTTCCAGGTAGTAAACCATTTTGAGGATCTTAACAGTCTTGCTCTTCTATTCTCCCTTTCTTTAGTCCAGGGAGACCAACAGACAAAAGCCCCGCTCCCTGCTCACTGTCTCTCCTCTCTACACTCGGCAGGAATCGGCCGCGCGGGTCCCCGAGTCCCCCCGCACCCGCTGGGTCGCCGCCGCAGGGCACGGGTCCCTGGAAAGCTCGGTTTGCTTTCTTATATACCCCTGAAACACCTGCCCGCAATGAACTGGGCCTTCCTACATCAAACACCAATCAAAAGAATGCCTAACAGGCTTGCCTACAGGCCAGCCTTATGGAGGCATTTTCTCGGTTGAGGCTCTTTCAAGTTAGGTGACTCTAGCTTGATGAAAGACTAGCCACTAAAGTGGGCCACCAAAGCCATCTAGCTTTTTATGTGGTGCGCAGGAGGTGGCCGGTCACATTGCCTCTGAGGTCAGAAAGCAGAGCGAAATGAATGCTTGTGCTCTACTCTCTTCGTTCTTTATTATTTTGTTGGTGAACCAAGTCCATGGAATTGTGGTAACACCCAGATTTGGGTCCTCTCTCCTCTTCCCATTCTGGAAATTTCCTCAGAGACATGCTCAAAAGTTTGCCTCCTCCTGGGTGATTCCATCCTGTGAAGTTGACAATCAACACTAACCATCATCTAAGCCAAAGCTCTTATTTTTACAGACAAGGAAAGCTAGACCCAGAACAAAATACAACAGACTCAAAATGGGATACATTTTCTTTTTGAAAACAAATAACTCTAAATTCTCAGATGAAATGAGTTTAATTTCTCTTAATGGTTTCAAAGTAATACAAAAGAAAAAAAAGTTTATCCTTTGATCTGCTAACATTCAAAGGATAAAGGAGAAAACTGGGGAATTTTTATTTTCACTAAGCATTGAAGAGACGATTGGCTGAAACTGAAGCTATTAACCCAGTGTAAGTGGTGATTTCACTGCTCAGCTTCCAGTCTGTCTTCTTTTAGGAATGTCGCATTGATCTTTTCTGCTCTTTCATTCTGTGCCTCGGCGAGAAGATCTTCTCCAAACCCAGTGACCCAGTTCTGGCCAGTCAGAGCTAGCTAGGTATTTCCTCAAGCTGTGATTGATTCAGGGTTGGACAAATATAAAAGCTGACAATCAGTTTGGTGATATTCAGGAGGCTTCTGGAAACCACCCAGATCCTAGTCAGCTGGGGAATGGGCCCACTATAGAGAATGCAATGGTTTCTTACGCTTATTAATAATTGTTATTATTTTTGTGTGTGAGACAGAGAGACAAATGTTACAGCCTGTGTGTGGATGTTAGAGAACTGTCAGATCTCTTTTTTCCCCTCTACATGACATATTAGGGTTATATAGAATAACAGAACTTATAGAATGCATTTAGCTCTATATATACAGAAAGGGGATTTATCAGGATGACTTCCAGACTGTGGTCCAGCTAATCAGACAATGGCTGGCTGTGAAGGAAAGCCCAAGAACTCAGGGGTTGCTCAGCCTACAAGGCTGCATGTCTCCACTGGCCTTCAGTATGTGCTGGAATCCCAAGAAAGTAGGTTCTAAAGCCACTGAAGATATGGACTTGTTAGCAAGGCAAGGGACAGCATGCCAAGAGCAAAGGCTTTCTTCTTCCATTCTTATATAGGCTTTCAGCAAAAGGTGTGGCCAAATCAAAGGTCTGGATTAGAAGTGGAAATCCCTCACAGGCATGTCCTCCATTTTGGATTTTAGTTAATTCCAGACATGTCAAGTTGACAACCCCAAATAGCCATTGCACATAGTCTCAGGGATTTGACTGAACCCTTGTCACCCACTTCTTATGGGAACGAGAGTATTGCTACAGATAGTTTGAACACTGCAGAACTATGATCCTGTGTTGCTCTATCTTTTGCAAAAATGGCATCTATTGTAACAGGGCAACAGATCTTAGGAGGCTTTCAGACCTTAGCACCACTGACTCCATGATAAAAGTACCATTCAGGCCATATATCTCAGTGTGTAGAACTGTACCACCTGTGCATCAAATTTCATAGTTCTAGGAAAGTCTCTAAATGTACTAACCTTGATTTCTGGCTTCTGTAATTCCACTTCTGGCTAATTGTTCTTGTTAACTGAAGTATGTCAATACAGAATTTTTTTTTTTGTTAGTTTTTGTTGTTGTCATTTTGTTTGTGCTTAAAAGCATCCCCAAGCCCAGTGTAATCAATAGCCAACTAATGGAGAGTTCTATTGGCTTAAAGTCATGTCCAAGCAGTCTTTTCTGGTAGATAGATACTACACAACACTATCTTCATTATAAGTCTTTGTGCCATGGTTCATCTAAATCAAGAATTTATCTCATTGAAGCAGCATTTTCCCCTCAAAAAATTAGAACAGCTTTTCTTTTCTTTCTTTTCTGTGTTTTGGGGTGTCTAAACTGTTAATAATACCTTGGGTCTACAATTGCTTGGTGTTTTTAAGATTGTATCCTAGACAAGGCATGTGGCTTCATGTTACAGCATGTGCTTAAAATGTAGGAAGATCGAGGTTCCACCTCAAGTGAGCGTGCATAAACACACACACATATATACACAAATACATACACAGAAACACACATACACACACTACACACATACACGCCACACATACACACACACTGCACATACAGAAAAAACACACATAAAACCAACACACAGAAACAAGCATTCATATACACACAAACACTAATATACACACAAACATACGCACATGCACACAAACACACATACAGACACACAAAAACATACACACAAAAACACACACACACGCTAAAAGGCAATTCAAATGGTTTCTCAGAGCTGAAAGAACTGTCCCAGGACCCTTCTCTGGTTTGTTGCTTCTTTCTTGGAAGCTAGCCTGGTCCTTCTGATGGTGCTCATTTATAAAACTGTTCCATTTGTAAAGACTCTAAAATGGGCTTTTGTGCTCAGAGAGAAAATGGCTCTTTGGAGAATAATGCTTGATTACTTGTTCTGTGAGAACAAGCTTTTTCATTTCCACAAAAGAGAATTTTTAGGCTGTTGTGAAATTTCTTTCAGAGCCTCAACACTTGGGAACTTCCCAGGGTAATTTCCAGCAAGTCAAGAGAAAGGAGGAGGTCTGCAAAAAACATTCACAGCAAGTGGCTGGGAGGTAGAACCATCTTACAGGTCAGTCCCAGAAAGGCAGAAGCAGCCACTGTGGCTGACAGGCTCAGTCAGGTGCACACCCTTCCCTTACCGCACATCTTCTCCCGTCTTAGTTTAGGAATCTTTCACCTTGGGCCTTTCTGTAGCCTAAAAACAGTAAAATTATAGGATGGGTGATCAGGATTAAAGATATATTGCAAGAGGCATGAGCACAAATGCTTCCCCATCTCCTGCCTCCTCCAGTCTCTCCAATTTCTCACTAGTCTTTCTTCTCCCTTCCTCTTTGCAAACTCCTTCTGTGAGCCATGTCACTATGTCACCCCAGGCTGACCCCACACTCTTGGACTCAAGCAAGAGATTTTACTATTTGGGCCTCCTGAACTAGGATTATAGGTTTTCCTTAAATTTAAATTTCAATAAAAATTAAAATTTTTAAAATTTTTATTGAAAACATTTTGTCTGCGTAATAGATCTTGACCACAGTTTCCCTTCCCTCATTTCCTTGATACTCCCCACTTACCCAACTCCATACCATCTTTCCTTTCTTTTTGGCAAACAAACAAACAAACAAAAATGAAACAAATCATAACTTAAAAAAAGAAAATGAATGAGAAACACACCATACCCAGGTCAGCTGGGCCTCTGCCGAGGGTCCATGGAAGTGTTGGGTGGGGCCATAGTCCTTCTAAGGCTTGGTGGGACTTACTTTCAGCGTTGTTGTGACCAGAAGGCAGTAGAAGGGGGGAAGGACTTACTTTAGCTCACAGTTTTGGAGGCTTCTGCCCACAGTTGCTTGGCTCTGTGTACTGCAGCAGGACATCATGGGAACAGAAGTGTGTGGAGAGCCGCTCTTCACCTCTCCAAGGACAGGAAGTAGAGACAGGGGGCATACAGAAAGCAGCCCACACAGGATTCGGCTCCCAGGGGCGCTCCCCACTGACTTACTTCCTCCAACCAGGCCCCACACCCTGCTTTACACAGAGTCCCAGTCACCTCAGGATATTATGGCTCCATCAAGGGATTAAGCCATTCACAGGGCCAGAGCCGGCTTAATCGGCTTAATCGTCATGGCCTGGCTGAGATGAGCCTGCCTGATCTCTAAGGCCTGCTTTAATCCAATCAAACAGAGAAGCCACATGCTCACTGCGGGTCCGCGTCACAGTGCAGGATGCTCAGGTAACAGTTCCTACCCGTTTTGGAGACTAGACTTCTCAGAGCAGATTTGGTGTCTCTGCCTCTTCCTTCCCTAAGCCTCTCTCTGTCCTTCAGCCTCCATTAGTCTCCTAAGTTTCTAACCCATTGTGGTTTTGACGTTTCATAGCTTCTTGTTTACAAGATATGTGGAAATGCTTCTGAAAGGGCTGTTTGTAATTCTGCCCAATCTTACTCTTCTAGCCTCACCTGCCTTCTAAGACTAGTCAGACTTGTTTTGCTGGAGCACACTATGGGCTCGTGGTTGCTCCACCCATCCATCAATCCATTCATCATTCACTAGAAAATCCATCAATTAACAGAGTGGTACTGAGTGACAGACATTGAAATAAATTACTGAACAAATTCAGACATGGTTTCTGTTCTCATTTTCTGGAGAACAGCATGAATCAAATAATTAATAAGTGATTTTACCTGCCATTAAAATCAGATCTGTGAGGGAAAGACTAAAGCTCAGTGCAACAAACATGGCTGCCATAGATTTAGTGTCAGGGATGCTTCTCTGAAAAGATGATGTTTGAGGTAAAAGAAACAAAAGGACCAAATAGAACAGGAAAAAGGAATTCACTGTTTAAGGTAGCCCCTCCGTAAATACTTGCTGGATGAATCAAAAGCACCCAGGGAAATACTTAGGAAAAGAAAAGGTTAATGTGGAGCTTTTCTTAAAGGAGGCCTAACTCAGCTTTGCACACAGCCCAAGCCAAAGGCTCTGTGTTTCCAAGATTCTCTAG